AGGAAGTTCTTCCTTGGCAGTTTCAGAGGACTATAAAGCAGCTTTCTGATATTTCCAGTAATGAATAATCCACTAGAGTACAGATAAGCATAAGAAGTGAGACATTTAAAATGCACTTTTTTTTTACCGAAAGTATTTTAATACTAAAAATGTGAATTTTAAATCTCAGGAAGTTAGCCATGCTATATGCTAATTTATATATACTTTGGCTCAGTGGCCTTTACATCATTTTTAAAATTGATTTTTAGAGAGGGATAGGAGAGGGAGAGAAAGAAACATTGATGTGAGAGCAAAACATCAATTGACAGCATCCTGTACACTCCCTACAAGGGATCTTGCCAGCAACCCAGGCATGAGCCATGACCTGGAATTGAACCAGCTACCTTTCTGTACATGGGCGTATGCTCAACCAACTGAATCGCACTGGCCAGGACTACCTTATTTTTATTTATTTAACATAATTAGTTAATTAGATAAATAATATTATATGAAAATTGATATTGAAATGGTAAAAGCAAACCTCTGGTTATTGCCTACCTTGTTTGATTAGAGATCTTTTTCCCAGTAGCTAACATACAGTGGTATTCATAGTAGGCATTCAATCAACACATGTTGAAAATGAGTAAAAGAAACAAATGATTTATTTTTATCTTTTTGAAGATAATTTATTAATTAACAGGATCATATAACTATAACAGTCCTTTGTATCAGACAAAAGTCCATATTCAATTTTTACATTTTCCAGCAAACTTGTATGTACAACTAATTAATACGTATGTCAGATCATGTGATTTCCTGCTGCAAATGCTCTGATAACTGTTACTCTCCTTCTACCTTGAAGCCATAAGATATATTTTTTATTAATACATTTTTATTGATTTCAGAGAGGAAGGGAGAGAGAAACATTGACTGGATGTCTCCTGCATCCAGGCATGTGTTCTGCCAAGGAATTGAACCACGATCTTGTGGTTCATAGACCACTTAGCAATTCTGGCTGGGCATGGTGGTCTGAGCTCTTGCTTGATTAGGCAAGTTCACACACCACCAAAGATCATACTTTATCCTTATCTCCTACTATTTCAGTGCTCCCTCATCCCTTATCCAGTTCCTGTGCCTCCTCACCGTTCCTATAGAAATTCCTCTAAGCAGGAGCACTTTTATACCTTAGGGCATTTGCACTGCCTGTTTTGTCTATCTGGACTGTTCTTTCTCCAGATCTGTGCAAAGCTCTCTCCCTTATCACCTTTAAATCTTTATTCAAAGAACAACTTCTCATTTTCTGATCATCAGATTTAAAACTGTAAGTACTCCCCTTCCAAATATAGAAACCTTTGCCATCTATATATAGTTTTTAGTAGCAAACTGAATGCAGTACCATCAGACATTGTACCTTTAGCTGATTTATTTATTTAGTTATTTTCTTATCCCATTCATTAGAAGATCAGCCCTTCATGGAAGGATTTTACATCTATTCCAGGAACATCATTAACCCAACACCTAGAGCAGAACCCTGGGCAAAGTGGGTGCACAGTCACCATTTGCTGAACATGAGAAACTCTCCATCCTGAAACTGCCAAGAGAAATTAAAGCAATGATAGAATGACCACATTTATTTTCATTCACTTTGAATCCGCTTGGATGAGTAGTGGTGTTATTTCTTCGGTATTAACAGGGATTTAAAAACAAAGGACCCAGATGGTCAGATATAATAATGAAAGGCAGATAGAAGTGTGTTTTAAATGTGTGCCAATTTGGCAGCAACATCTGAGCTGCTTCATCAGTCTGCATTCTCTACAGATTCTCTATCTCATCTCCCTAAATAGTCTGTGGATGCTCCTTAGGGGAAAAAACAAAAAAGCCATTCAAAATGTTAAACATTCTTTGATGTGTGTGTTTCTGAGCTTACAGCCAAGTCAATTAAGCAGTCCCAATTTTTTTTTTTTATTAGTGTTTCCATTGATAGGTACTTAAATGATCTCATTCTATTTAAAGGTCACTGTCTTAAAACACACACACACACACACAAATTTTAATCCTGCTATATGACAGCATTGAAATGCACAATACCTAAGTTTGGAAATGTGCTAAATCATAAGATAAAGAAAATATACAGATTGAGGAGTATCTATCCACATTCAGAAATGTGTGACATCTTAGATGACATAAAATTTTAGGAAAGATTTGAAAACACTTTACTAATGAATTAAAAAGAAGATGGGTGAACCAGGAAATACTAAAGCAGCTAATATTGTTTGCTTTGAAGAAGTTTTGCTTTTGCAACATTGGTAATTGTGTGTAATGACAGGAAATGCAAGAGGAAGGAAATTTGCCCCCTCCAGCACTGTAAAGATTTTTGAAGAAATTTACATCAGCAGTAAAACTTCAGAAATAAATAGGATGACATCGTCTCATACAAATCATTTAAGAAATGAGAAAATTTATGTTCCATTATTATGTCTGAAATAGGCTTTTACTTTTTAAAGTAAGATAATCTGTTTTGAAATGCTTGGTTTCTGAAAGCAGTAATTTGCGAACACTATCTGATTCAGAATAGTTTTGGTACAATGACTAAGATATAAATACTTGCAGGTTTAATGTGGGAAGCTATAGTGAATTTTCCAGTTTTTTGTTTGTTTTTTTTTTTTTTTTGAACAATAAAGAGGAGGAGGGCAAATTGAGACAATGAAAAAAATCCATCTTACTATAAACCAATGCTTCCTTTTATTATTTTAATTTAATTTTTTACATACTATGTGCCCAGGATGAAATACATACCCTTTACATGAGTTTATAATGATTTATCACATTTAGGCAACAACCCTGAATGGTTGATTTTATATGCAGAAAATTAAGGTGCATCGCTGTCAGAGAATGAAATGAAGGAGCTATTTTTTGCTTGCTGAGCAAGGCAGAGCTGCAACACTTGAGAAAGTTCAGAATGCTTTCCTAATACCTGAGAAAACAAAAGGCCTAAGAAGCAATGTATTGCTTCCTAAGAGAGGTGCCATCCATGGCCCACCATCATCAGAGTTGATGCAGGTAGCCTGACTTCAAACCAGCACATTACTGACCACAAAAGGCTTGGGATACAGAAGGAAGAGCAACTGTAAACATCATTGCTTCTAACCACCATGCCTACGGTTATGTTCCTCTGTATACAAATGTACTTTAATTTTGAAATAAAATGAACTCTTGGCTTTCCATGGGTCTTCATACATGGTGAGGGTTACCTCTCCTCCAATGGGAAGTGGATGAATTCTCTTTCAATAGGCCACCTCTCAGAATCCCTGTAAAAACAGGGGCCCTCACCCAAGAGAATGTATTTATACACAGTGGTCTGGCCATTGGCTTCATCTGTGTATTTTAAAATGTTGGCCTCGTTCATTATGGCAAATTGCTTTTTAAAAGTCCTTCTGTTACTTGAGTCTGCTCTTATATTTTTATATGATTCATAGTTTTTAGTTATATGGTCAGTCTACTAGTGGAATTTACACAAATTTGTGGTAGGAGTGATTTATGAAAAATGGACGAAAATGAAGTATTTTTCCTGCCACCAACATACATGTCTGAAGTGCCCTTTTGAGAATGAATAAGCAAAATAAACTAAATTAAACTACAAGTTCACATTAATGTCTTAGAACCATTAGTAAACAAAATGAAGTTTTGGGCTTTGCTTTTTTTATTTTTATTGGTTTAAAATTATATTAGGGACAAAAACATACATAGTATATATGCTGCATTTGCACACGACCTAGTCAACATTTACTTTCTCTAATGATCTCCTGCGTGTCATATTTCATTTTAGGTTTATTCAAACAAATATAATAATCAAATCGGTCGTTCTCTATGACCTTACCTTAATATTATTACAAAGAACAAATAGCCTTTCTTTCTATTCAAAATATCAGTTTAAGGAATTACCTTTAGTCTCATCTTCCAGGAGTTGGAGTAAAATGATGAGCACCAGTCTGCCAAATTTTATTTTGCCCTATTTTTAGATGCATTTCAGTTACATTAAACTGAGTAATGAGAAAATGCCCGTCCAGGGCTTCCCATGAGGCCTACAATCCTTGTACTCTCTTGATCTGATAGACATGGCATGCGTCCAGGTTCTTTGTAGGTCTCCTTGCCTTTCCAAATGGCCAACTGGACAGGACCCAGCACCGTTCCACTGCTCTTCTGTTCCCTGTTGGCTGCCTCTCTTTCAGAGGAAACCTTCACCCCTGTGCGTGCAGTCACGGGATTGCTGGCTAAGCCTAACAGAGTACCATTTACTTGCCTTTGCCCTCAATTTCCCAGGCAGGAGTCAGATCTTGACCCGCTGCTCTCTGCTTGGAGGAAGCCAGCTCTCTGTGTAGCTCCTGTAAAGTTTGCTTATTAATTTGATCATGGAAGGCGGCTTCCATCGCTATTGCCCAAGTGGACCCTGAGCCTTTCAATGCAGTAATGATTGTCAATATCTACTTTTTTATAGCCCTATGGTGAGGAAGGGTGGGCAAGGACCTTGAAAGTCTGCATAGGGAGTTTTAGAATTTCTCTTTGGAATTTTGTATCTAGTGGTTTTGGTGTTAGGGTGTAATTATAAGGATATCCACTTTTTCTAATTGTTGAAAACAATATTCACCATGAGAAGCATGGCTAGGAGATGAGACATTCCTTTGAAGTACTCATGAATCTGCACCGGCACGTTCACTTAAGTGACCTGATTTAATCATTGCAACCGCTCTGTAGAATTGGGACTATTCATCCCAACTTACAGAGCAGGAAACTAAGACTTAATGTAGATGTTTAAGGTCATACAGAAACTGAATATGTCTGCTGGACAGCTCCCCCTTTTCCTGCTACACTGCTGCAGGTAAAACATACCCACTTAATCCTCCTGCTAGCCAGGACTGCCCGACATAGTTCTGAAATAAGGTCATTTCCATTACTAATCATTTTGAACAAAGCATAAATCTTAACATTGGCTGAGTGAAAATATACATTTAATTTTTTTTCAGACAATAGATTTTGAAGGTTTCAAGCTCTTCATGAAGACATTTCTGGAGGCCGAGCTTCCCGATGAATTCACAGCACACCTTTTCATGTCATTTAGCAACAGGTTTCCTCACACCAGCCCCATGGTCAAGAGTAAGCCTGCTCTCCTTTCAGGTGGTAAGTCTAATTCTTTACTTGAAAAATGTATATGAAGAAAAAAAAATTAAGAGAAAATTAGTATCAGAGTTCTCTGTTACAGAAGAGATGATTTGCTTAAAAATTACCTTCATTGTAGGATATATACTCTCATACTGATATTGTGCACATATTTAAAATGTTTCCAAAATAATAATAACTGACCATTAGAGACAATGTACTTAGTCATTATCCATCTCTTATCATTCAGCGTCGTAACCGTGTATGTCTAGGTAGCAATTTTAACAGAAACTTTTCATCAAATATGGAAAAGTTCTCTTTTAAACGTTTTATATATAAATGAAGTCACAAGCCAGTTGTATAGAAAGCATAATATTTAAAGCAAATTACCAATAGACTTTTACATTGTTATATTTGTAATTTCAGAGAAGAGTTGAATTTTCTCTTAGATACTTAAATTTTTGCCACCCTAGAAATGATTAATTCTTTCATTATGTATAGCTCTTTAAAGATGTCTAATCAACCATTACCATTTGCTAATTATATCCTTCTCCATCAGTCAGGAAAACCAGGATCTCACTGTGTAACTCTAGAGAACGGGAAGGAGGAAGTTGGTTAGACAGTGTTGAAGGGTTGAAAAAGCAAAGAGGAGCACTGAGGTGCTGCAGTGGTAGGACCACAGGCTGCCCCGAGGTTGGAATAATCACATCCCAGAAGCAGGGAAGAAAGGCCCCATGAGCTGGGATGCAGTTTTCACTTCTGTGGAGAGGCTATGGCCTCGCTGGCTCAGGAGCTCAAGGAGGGGCCTGCAGCCCTGGATGTCAAACCCTTTAGGAGCGTCCTGATGGTCTGTGCAGGTCTGTAGAGAGAGCTCACTGTGTCTTTTGTGGAGTGGGAACATGCAGAGACTAGAGCCCATTGCTGTTGAAACCATCACACGCTGTGCCCGTGACATGCTGGAGCCATCTAACAGGAAGTGCAGATAGACTAGTCGGCACTGATCCCCCTCTTTCCTGCTTTCTAATCTCTGTAGTGCTCCTGTGAACCCAGCTGGTTTCTAGCTGGCAGTGGAGAAATGTTGCTTTTCTCACACTCTGATTTTATGTCTCTTTTGGGTCCTTAAAGTTATTATTGAGGACTCCAAAGGACCTGTGTTATATGGGTGATATATTTTTGCTGTTACCACATTAAAGAGGAGACACATTAAAAATAACTATGAGTAGCCCATCACGTGCTAATAAAAATTACATATTGTTGTAAAAAGACCTAAAATATGGAGAAGTGGCATTGTTTTACATGGGTACATTGCCTTTATCATTTGGCTTCCTGGCAGGAAGCTAAACACCGGGAACCATACTTGCATCTCTGCTGCCATGTCTATCTTAGGTATCTTCTTGGAATTACCACAGTATCCTCAGGAGAAAATGAGAGTGAAAATAGCAAATGATATCTCAGAATCATTGTTGAAATTGTTTTGACCTTACAAATCCCCTGAAAAAGGCCCAGGGAGTCCCAATGGAGCCACTGGTCCAGAGAGTTCCAGCCCAAGCACCACATAGCAGCATATAGACATTGAGTAAAGAGGAGAAGTTTAATCATGGACACTCAGATAAATAAAAATTTAAGAAAACACTATAATTAGGAAATAGGGGATTCAGCTAAACTTGGGCAATTTGACAGAGTCCACACTATTAAGCCTTATGTGGTGCTGGGCCCCCTTCTGTTAACAAAGTGATGTATTTTTCCTAGAGCAATTTTGGTCCAAGCTCTGTAAAAACAAGTATACTATACCTTCCATGTGATAATTTATGATCCCTTTAAAATATATAAATATTAATCTTAATCCTAACCCTCAACTATCCATCAATTATTTTTAGTCCCTAAAATAATTCCCCTTCTATTACGAGTTGAGAGGACTCACAATGTTGTTTTTCTATGAATCAGTTCATTGGGTCTGTCCTTAAGGTATGGGACCAGAGCTTACAAGTGTTCCAGGCTGAACATTTTAATATGGAACAATTGCTTACTTTGATCTCAAAATTAGTACTTCCCATCTCTCCATTTCATGCTTTATATGGATCTCACTACCTTAGGCACAATACAATAATAATGTTTTCCTTATTTAATTTGTATGAAGCAGCACTGTCCTTGGGTTTTGAGAAAGGAGAAACGGGAACATGTTTAATGTTTGCTGTCTGAGTAACTGTCAGACAGAATACAGAACATAAATTACTTAGGTCATGTTGGCAGAAATTGACATCTCAAAACCTCTTTTAAAAAAATACAATGCAATAAGTATTACATAGAAGATAACAAATTTACAAGGAATAGAAATCAAATCAGGTCTCAAAATGGGAAGAAAAAAAAAAGGAATAATAGCTGGTACTTCATTTGGGGTATTCGCATATTCTATAAGGACCTGCTTGAAAGGAATTGCAAGAAAGACTGTGTACCCCTCATGCAGCAAAACTAAACTAAACTATGATTCCTTTTCAAAGCTTGGCCTCCCCCTTTTGAAACATAAGAGTGCAGTATTCTTTGTGGGATTATTTTAAAGCCCATATAATTTTCAGACTTTCATACTTTTTTTTCTGGGGAGTAAAGAACACAAGATGACAATAAGATTTTCAAGACCTGGTTATTCTTGAATCTAAAACTGAAAAATATATTTTCAATTCTAGAACATTGTTTTGCAATCATATGTTATCTACCCAAGATGTATTTGTGGTTAAAAACATCACAAATTATTTTTGAGATGAGAGGTGCTGTAATCTATTTTGTGTATCCCCTCTTAGAGTTCTCCATATTTTATTACCACAATACCATCAGGAATATGATAGCTATTCCTGACTATATATCAACTGAACAATAAGGACTTTTCAATAAAAAAAAGAAAAACTGAAAAAGGAAAACAATGTTGTTCTTGTTAATGAACAATAATCAAGTATTGAAGATAGGGTGAAAAAAAATAGTCATTATAGCATGACACATCTTTACTTAATTGCAAATGGGTATAAAGGTTGTGTGTGCAATTGTGTTTTGTAGAACTTTGAACACCTAATGATTCATCTGGCATTTTGTGTAGTGAGTGACTTATTTTCTTGGGGAACATCTTGTTGCAATGTGACTGCTTGTAATCACCTGTTTAAATATGAGATGATTGTTTCAACTGTCCCCGTGTTGGTCTTTTCATTTTTGAAGGCGTTCTTGGAGCACCCACTTTCCAACTTTGTCGTAGTCTCTTCTGCTTCATTGTAAATGCCAGGTCCCGCATCCCTTGCCTGTTGATTAGTCCAATGACCAACTTCAGACCTTCGTGTCATCCCTAAAATTTATCACTTGAACTATTCTCTTTACAGAATTGTTCAACCTCTTGGACCCTTTGTTTTTCTGAAAGTGGCTTCTAAACCCTTAACTAGGAATCAATGTGATGATCTCATATTTCAGCTCTTACAACTTGAACCCTGACAATCACCAGAGAGAAATCTCATAAATTTTCTGATTGTTGCCCCTATAGATTCTTACCCTCCTGCATTAACATGGCCTAAACACCTAATCCGTTAAAAAAAATGGGTTTATTCATGATATTTTTTTTGCTAAATCAATTATGTTAAAGTTTTCTAAGCAGTTTAGTTTTATTCAAATATTTCTTCTCGTTCTCAATAGATAAAATTTTTATAAGACAAAAAAAAAAGGCTCAATTACTCCCTACTCAACCCAGAACTGTACTATATACAGAAGATATTTAAGGTTGAGAACAATCTACACTAATAAAATAGTAAGACACAAAGTGACCGTACCTCCGTGATGCCCACCATCCAATCAGGAGTGAGTATGCAAATTAACACAATAAAGATGGTTCCATACCAACCCAGCTGCTCTGGGCCTCTAGGTAGCATGGGAAGGCAGGAAGGTTACTCTGGGCCTGAGCAAAGGTGGTGCCAGCAGCCAGGGGAAAGAAGGCCCATTCTTACACAAATCTTCATGCATTGGGCCCCTAGAACCAATAATAAAAAAGTGAAAGTACTTTTTTCTTTGGTCCCCTCTCATTATCCATTCCAGGTGGCAAAGGATACTTGATTTGTGCTGTTGAGCTATAATATCAATAGAGGAGTTTAGTCATAAAAACAGAATATCACAACACCAAGTACTTTTTTTTATGTAGAAAAGTAGAAACAATTTCTTTTGTCCATAAGAAAGTTAATCAAATTAGGAACAGAAAATTGCCCAAAGAAAATGAGGTACTTAAACCTTTGGGAAAATTCTTTTGCCAAATGACTTTAGTGAATGTTCTTGCCAAAAGACACACTTCATTAATTGTGCTGAGAAGAAACTATTAGCCTTATCAGGACTGTCTTGGGGATATTAAAAATTGTGTATGTATTTCTGTGTGTGCTTTTTTACCGTAGGTGGCTTTATAGCTCTGTTGTGTATAGTAAGCTACTTCAGTTTCCATGATGCTGAAAAGGGCAAAGACCTGAAAAATACTGAGTGTACAGAGTCAAGGCTATGTGACTATGAGGGAGGGAGGTTCTTTGCACACAGCGAGCACTTAAAATGTATTTATACATTTATTAATGTTGATCTACTTTTATTGTTGATAATAATGATTCTATATAGTCTGTATAGCTTACATACCTACATAAAAATGCTATAGAAATAGAAAAGAATTTATATTAGCTAATTATTATAGCATTTATTAGTATTGACCAGTGCATTTCTTATGCTCCTATAGTACCAAATTATTAGTAGTATAAATATTTATTCACAAATTTACTCCAATAAATCTCCTATTGTGAAACCCTGAAAAACCCTTCACATAACCAGAGAAAAACCCCACAACTTCAAGTACGCATTTATGATAAAATTGCTGTCAGTAAAGGAAAAGCTGCCCCATAATTTCCCCTTTAATTATTAAGTTGTTTTGAATATATTGGAATGGATTATTCAGGTTGCCTTTATTATTCTCTCTGAATGTTTCACATTCTCTAATTGTTTATATTCAGTATTATGAAAGCTGATAATGGAATGCCATGCACCTTTGTTTTATAAGTACAAATAAATGATCGTGAGGTGTTCTCAATAAGTGAAATGTATAATAAGTCTGGGATTCATTCAAATGAATGTCACATGTTCTTTTTATGCTTTCTTGTTTTGTTCTGAGTTTTTGTATAAAAGATTTAGATCAAGCTGATTAAATCATTTCAGCACCATAAGGGGAAGCTAAGAAGAGAGGATTAGCTCATCAGGCAAGAGGAGTTAGGTCATGATTTAGCTAACCATAATTCAAGGACTCTGTTCTCCGAGGCTGGAAGTTATGGTTATGTCAACTGTCAGTGCCAAAATGTCTTTTATACTTAGTTGAAATTGCTTATTCCTGCAGCTGGAGAAGTTTTAGCTAATCAATTAGACATAGTAAGAAAGGTAATATTTTAAAAACTTAATATTGTCTTCAGTTCTTTGCCTTTTTAGGCTTATGAAATATCTGTGTTTGTTTGCATTAGGTATACAGTGATACTTCTGTTAGGGAGTAAAATCAATTTATATATATATATATATATATATATGTATATATGTATATATTTCAGTAACTATAAAGAAGTAGAATTAACGTGGAGCATAGATATGTTTCTAAAATAAGTAAGGCTTTGGTAAATAAAATGGAGGAAGAATAAAGCAATATTTTTCAAACTGTGGGTAGGGGGCACATTAGTGGATAATGAATTCAATTTAGAGGGTCTTTTGATAAAATTTTAAGTATGAAATGGAATAGGAGAAAAGAGAACAGGATAATACAGAAAGGAAAATTTTAGGCTAGTTGTGAAACCTACTAATTAATGAAGTGTGTGTATGTATAAAAGGATCATCCTGGATTAAGATGTAATTTTTTCTTCTTCTTACTATTGGTATTGAACCAACAATAGTCTGTAAACCATTTAAGTAGAAAAAGAGAATGGATTTGCTAGCTATGTAACTTTGGGAAAATAGTCACTGTAAGCTTGTTTCTAATCTGTAAAATGGGAGCAATACAATCAACCTCACAGGGTTAATGTGAGAATTAAGTGAGATGATACACGGTGAAGCTCTCAGCATGGTTCTTGCCATATATTAATCACTCAATCAATGATACCTTTTATTAACAATAGCATTGTAGATGATACAAGTCATTTATACATTTTAATGATGTGTTAAATTATATGCTGGCTACCTTGAGAAGGCTGGAGGAGATGCTAGGTATTGAGTCAAAGTCACACATCAAAGGAAATAGCACAGAGAGGGATGTGGTCAGGTGGACCTGCACTAAGGGGGGCTGGCTCGTAGAACTGGATTATCCCCTCTGTTCCAATAACTCCTGGTTGACTAGGAACACAGCAGCTCTTTAGCCCATTTGTCATCTCACCCAAACACCTATTATGTTGCCAAATGTACCTCCAAGGATAATTGGGGTTTACCTTCAGGTCTCCTCCCATACATGTGATCTGGTGTCAGAGGCTTCTGTGAAGGATGGAACTAACCATTTATTGTGAATGAGTTTCAGTTTGATGATCACCAACCAGGTCATCTGCCATCATCATCTATTGTGATCAGGCATTTCGGTACTCCACCATGGTCTCAGAATAGGCATGGTAGATGGGTCCCAGACATTAAGTATGGGCCTTTAAAAATCAAAGGACAGTCATGTTATTGCCTCTCTAATGGAGTATTTGTCATCTTTATCCAAATTTTTATGCTCCTTTTCTCTCTTATGGGCAGATTCCTCAGTGGCAAAAAGGATGCCTTCTTCATAGTGCTGGCAAATATTTGGCATAACTACTTGTATGAATGGATGATTCCTGATTATAATAAACCATATTGTGACAGAATGACTTTTTTTTCCTTCAGTTTTTGTTTTTGTTTTTAACAAGCAGCCAATTGTATCTATCTTCCTGGTTAATTTGTAGCTGTCATTGTCTAAAGCAGAGATCTGGAATAGGAAAGTTTTTCCTGGTACATTAAAATTTGTCCACCATCTCACCCTAGAAAATAGGGTCATGTCTTTAAAACCCTCCATTAGGCACCTAGTCTGGTTCCTGTGTCCCCAAGTCCCAAGAAACTCCATTGTCTACAGCAGTCACAGACCATGTCCGGAGTTCCAGAGAGAATGGTCATCATATGCTTGGAAATGTATAGCTCTCCACATGCTCTCTGCTCTAACCCCATATTTTCTTTTGTTTCAGATCACTCTGAATATTTTAAGGATATAAAGATAAATATTTTTTTTCAGGCCTGAAGATGAATAAAGGTGCCATCACCCCTCCTCGCGCTTCGCCTGCAAACACGTGTTCCCCAGAAGTTATCCATCTGAAGGACATTGTCTGTTACCTGTCTCTCCTGGAAAGAGGAAGACCTGAGGATAAACTCGAGTGTATGTGTTTCTCCATCAGTTCACTTGTCACAGCTGGGGTAGGGAAAGGGGCTGGCTACTGATTAACTACAAATTGCAGAGACTGTGCTTATATGAATTTTTGTTAAATACGGTGATGTTAATAATAAAAATAATAAATACCCCTTCAATTGAAAATCTAAGTATACTGATGATTGGTCAATTTCAGGTTACTTATCAAGTTTCATTTATTGCCTAGTATTTCTTGATCTTGTTTGTCTACCAAATTACTTACTGATTATTAATGTTGCTCATTTTGGTAAGAAGATGACTTTGGAAAGTGTCTACTGCGGTTGTTTTGAAAAAGGAAAAACACACATTTATTTCTAGTATAAGAAGAGTTCTTCCTGTTGAGCAGTATGAGGGGTCCATTCACAGCAGGCAGGCAGCTAGAATTTTCTCCCTTAGAAATCTTTCGGGAAAGCTTTAGTTCTAACACTTCCTTTGCTAGGAACAAATGATTTCTCAAATGCCAAACAGAAGCGCTTCTTTCATGGAAATTGACTCTGTATATTATTGACAATTAAACAATAGCTACTGTGTATTTCTTCCACAAAGTAGCAGGTAATTCAGATAGAGAATTTCTCTCTAATTGAAAGGAAATAATTGTTCTCTAATAAAATATAGTGCTTCAGCTCTCTCTGGTGGCAAATTCTCCTCACTGCAATGCAAGAAAACATTTTTTAAACATTAACTCTAGGCCTAGGCAATCATTTATTTAGGAATCTATTATGTCCCCAAAGCCCTTGCTAAAAATAGAGCTGGTGGTTTGTTCAGTAATCTAATTCACTTGATTATATTGGATATTATTCAAGGGAATTAAAAACGTTAGCTACTGAAATGGGAGTGAAGATAATGAATCCTAATTTTGACATTTCCAAAGCCAATATAATATAGAACATTGTGATGTCTCAGAATTACGATTAAGAAGTACAGTATGTGTAATTAAATTTAATAGGAAGTTATTGATGTTATTTCTCTTACTAATATTTAGTTTACTATGTAATATGATTATTTGAGTCACATCTGCTTATGAATAAGCTATATTACCATTATTCTTTACATAAATGCTTATTATTCCTAAATGTTTAACTTTTGCATTTCAAGATTTATTTGTATTCTTAAGAACTTACAGAAACCTCTCTTCTTCCAAAGTAAATATTAATGTTCAGTGGGTTTCTATTGAAGTTACAGCCAGAGAAAAAGTTTGCTCAGGTGTTATCAGGAACATGTTAGTGATGATTTTAAAAGTACAAAGCCATTTCCCCCCACTTTTGAGACTGAATAAAGGCTCCATCAGGCCTCCCCAATATGGTCTTTGTGTTGCAGTTTAATTATTTTTAGGTCAACTGGAACTCTTTTTTTTTAAAAAAAAAGACCAAGGTAGAATTCCTCTGAGCATGCTTTGAAGTTCTCAATTTGAGTCTATGAGTCAACAGTCTTTGTCCACAATTACAGACAGAAGCTGACCCACTAATCATTCAGAAACACTTGATGAATCACGTCAAACCTGACCTTCCACTTACCTCTCTTCAGTGTTATCAACCTCCTTCTCTCTGTTCTTTGTTTGTATTTTCCAGCCCTTTTTAAAGCTTACACCAGGTTTAGTTGAATTGGCTTGTTTTCTTAAGCATTTTTCAGACTCATAGGCAGAGTTGATGTGGACTGGCACTATTATAGCAATTTTCACCAGAATCTTCAAAGTTAAAGAGTTGCAACCTCTGAAGCACATTAAGGTACACCTAGGCTCTAGATCTCTTCTCCACTCCCCTCTAATTTGGAAGACCTTAACCTGGTTCTTAGTCACCTGGAGCTTGCATTTGTTTTTAAAGACCAAATAATGCTTGGCCCTTTCCTACATCAATTAAGTCAGAATTCATTCTTCTCACCAACTGCCTTAGCAATGTGTAGTACCATACATTTTTAACCTTCTAGAATTGCAAATTTATAATTTTCTCATAATCGCGTATTCTTTTATAGTTATAGAATTTTGAAAAAAATTTCAGGAAGAGTTTAGAGAAATGTAGTGGTTATTAATCTAATAGATACTTATTCCCCCAATACTGATGGCTTATTAAACACAGTGTAAGGTAGAGCAAAGAAAAGAAAACAAATATTTAAATTAACACATAAATACAATAGATATGATGAAGCGCCTAAAATAATTAACTTTTGCAGCTGAATGCTCAAATTTGGATTTTGATTTTCCTAATCCAAATGCACTTGATACTTACTGTCTGTGGCCTGGACACATTTAAAAAAATCTCTTTATGCCTCCTTTTTTCCAAATTGTAGAATTTGGATCATAATAATGTCTCTCTTGTTTGCTATAAGGATTGCATGAACTAATATTGCCCTAGCCAGTGTGGTTCAGTAAGGTTGCCAGTTCCGTTCACAATTGACTCCTGCCTAGGTTTCCAGCTCAATTCCTGGTAGAGTGTGTGCAAAGGGAAGTCTATTGATGTTTCACTCTCACATTGGTGTTTCTCCTTTCTAAAAAATCAGTAATAAAAATCATCTTTAAATGAAAATTGCTCACATAAATTCCTTCATATTTTTTTAGTTTACATAATTTTTTTGTGAAGTGAAATAAGAGTAAGTTCATAAATTGTTTTCCCCTACACTATTTCGCTTTCTCCTGAACTTACCTGTGGATTTTTGGGCTCCCTTCCCATAGAGACTGAATTCATATTCCATGATGTCATTCTTTCATACTTAATTTCTGGCACCCAATTTATTTGCTCACATGCTGAGGTGGCAGAGTTATCACATTATCTAAGTCAGCGTTTTTCAACCGCTGTTCCGCGGCACACTAGCGTGCCGCGAGATGTTGCCTGGTGTGCCGTAGGTGCAGACAAGACAAGAATTTTATAATTTTTCACTATTTTGTTTACTTAATATTTCATAATAAAGTAATTATAAAATACTTTCTTTGTGTTTATTTGATTCCTATTCAAGAGAATTACTTTATATATAGTCAATCTAGGCACAGAGTTAAATTTTTTAACATTTTCTAATGGTGGTGTGCCTCGTGATTTTTTTCATGAAACAAGTGTGCCTTTGCCCAAAAAAGGTTGAAAAACACTGATCTAAGTATGATTCAATTGGATTCACCTCAACTGATCTCCAGTGTCCCTCTGTTCATCAATTTCTTTTAGTTAAAGGTTAACCCGGGGGCTTTGTTTTTTCAACTACCCGCCTATTTAATCATCTTCCCACATAAAAGGTTTAAATTCTTATAACTTCCTCTCATGTTACCTAAAATCTGTCAGCATCTAGACCCAGTTTTTCCTCTTTCTGTTCTGACTTAGGATTTATAAATGTTCTTTTATAGCTCTCTATTGACAAAACTAAATGCACAAAACTAAACCTTAATTTGGCATCCATGATCTGATTGGGCTAAACAATTTGACCCCAACCTACCTTGCCAGTCTTGCATTTGGCTTTGACTTGCCCGCAACATCCACAAATTATATCCCAGTCACATGGACTGACTTTTTAGTCATCAGACAGACCCTGAACTTTTCCACCTTACAATGTGTATTTGTTGGAGTGTTCATTCCCAATGTATATCAGATCTAGACCTTGCTCACATCATAAGTCCTCTTTCTAACTGGATTTATTGTGCCCTTTCTTTGTGCCCTTGCACTTTGTAGAACTCCCCACCTTAGTACCTACCACTTGCATGTGTATGTTTGCATGTGTGTGCATGTGTTTCAACAGATAGATGCTCAGAAAATATAATTTAATAGCCGAAACCGGTTTGGCTCAATGGATAGTGCGTCAGCTTGGGGACTGAAAGGACCCAGGTTTGATTCCGGTCAAGGGCAAGTACCTTGGTTGTGGGCACATCCCCAGTAGGGGGTGTGCAAGAGGCAGCTGATCGATGACTCTCTCATCGATGTTTCTAGCTCTCTCTCTCTCTCTCTCTCTCCCTTCCTCTCTGTACAAAATCAATAAAATATATTTAAAAGAAGAAAATATAGTTTAATGGAATTGTATCTAAGTTAATGGGTGCTCGAGAAAGGTAATGTAAATATTTAAGGCATAAAATAATACTAAATTAATTTATACTGTAACTTTTGAATACATGGTATTCATTTTTTTTTTTTGTTTTGTTAGTGTTTACACATTACCAGAGGCCCAGTGAACGTAATTCATGCATGGGTAAGGTCCTTAGACTTGGCTGGTGATCAGATTGATCAGGGCTTTCCAGCTGCTGGCCAGGAAGTCCTTTCCTGGCTGCTGGCTGAGGCCGGGGCCTTCTTCATTCTGTGTCGCCTCCTGGTGATCAGTGCATGTCACAGCAAGTGATCGAACTCCAAATGGAACACTTTGCATAATATATATTAGCTTACATTTACTGAAAAGATGTCACATAATATATATTAGCTTACATTTACTGAAAAGATGTCACTAAAGAGAAACTAATGGGAAAATAACCAGAAAGTTGATAATTGATATGCAGATGATGAAGACTAACCTGTATGTTAGTATGTACTATGTGTATATTAGTCTCAGAATCACTGAAATTTAACATTGAGGAGACTGTTACGATCTTGTAGCCAACTTTTCTATAGTGTCAATGAAAAAAGCCCAGAGAGACTGGACATTAATTATACCAATAGTTTATCTACCTCGTTGTGATTAAAACTCATGATTTTTGACCTAGTTGTAAGTGCTCTTTTTATTTTGGAAAGATTTGTTTCATTGTTTTTATTATTGTTTCTCTTGTGATTTCTCCATTATTTCAGATTCTCCAAGCAGCTAATTTTTCTCACCTCTGCCCTTAAGGTCTAGAAAGCAGATCTTGAAATGTATAAAATGGTAAAAAAAAAAAAAAAAAAAAAAAAAGAAAGAAAGAAAGAAAAAAGTGAATTAAAGAAATTTAACTTTAAATCCTTTAAAAATACATACTTTCTAATACTTAATAACTAATTTTATGTTTGTTTTTTTCATATCGATAACAATGCAAACTACAA